CAGAATCCGAAGCAGGCTCCAGGCTCCGAGCTGTCAGCACAGAGCCCGATGTGGGGCTGGAACTCACGAACCGTGAGATCATGACCTGACCCGAAGTCAGATGCTCAATGGACTGAGCCACCCAGGCGCCCCTGGGAATATTTATTTATTGATAAAAAATATACCTACAAGCTGATTGCGGTAAGGGACTGGGTACATGACCAACTGGTCCAACTTCTGGAATACTTCACTTTCAATCTCCTTGACCTTGTCTTTCCCCCCTCTGTTCGTCTGAGTTATCCAAGGTCCCGTCTCAGAGCTGACTGTGTTGTTACTGTCTTTTTCCTTAAACGGTGAATGCCTGAGGGCAGGCGTATTGTCTTCTTTGTGTTGAAATACCAGCATCTAGCCTGGCATACAGCAGGCTCACTTGTTAAGTGAACTTTTCAGGCAGGCTCAAATACCAGTCACTACGGGTAAGTCATTCTCTCAGGAGAAAAGCTTCCCTTATTCCTAATCTACCTCCATTTCCTTTCTCAAACAGACCTCCACCCCCCCTTCAAGTGACGTTCAGCTGGTGGGCTCACCCAGGAGATTCTGAGGGGACTGTCTCATCTGATCCTCTTATTCTTCTAGATGGCCCTTCCTTCATCGCTGACCCTTCCTTCCCACACACCTGCCATTGGTAGATCCAGGCTTTAAGGCCGAGAGGAGGAGAAAGGACTGAGCTACAGAAACCTTTCAACGTGGGTGTTGACTTACTGACTCCTGTTCTTTTCATACTGGGGTTAAAAGCTGAAGGGTAACCTTGATTGAGCAGAGGCCCAGGGAGGCCTCCTCGTGCGGTCCAGGGGGAAAAGCACAGGGTTCACGTTTGAATCCTCGCTCTGTAGCCCTTGTGCTTTACCTTGATTGAATCACCTCCCTCTCAGATCCTATTCCCCGCCCTCCGCCCCCCTCCCCCCCAATTCAGACTAAAGTCAGTGGTTGCCAAATGCTGTTCTCAGACTGGCTACCACCTCATAATTACTAGAAGCTTAATATACAACATAGACTCTCCAGTTAATGATCAACTATGGCTGTTAGTGTCACATAAAAAAAAGATAAGAACATGTTATGTGCCTCCAGATGAGAGAATATCCCACCTAGAAAAATATCAAGTATTCCTGCCACCCAAACAAACAAAATCTGAATCTCATCAAACCTCTAAATCTATTCATTTATGGAAAATTCAAGAGACAGAGGATCATGTTAAACAGTACCACGGGGATTCAGTCAGCCTGCAGGAAACTTCAGGAAAACAACCCGGGATCAGCAAGTAAACCGCAAAAAGGGAGGGATTAGAAACCTGAGGATGAAGAGATTTAACTTTAAGGGACTTAAACATGTCCACAAGGTGCTGATTTAAACAAATCAGGGGAGGGGCGCCTGGGTGGTTCGGTCGGTTAAGCGTCCGACTTCAGCTCAGGTCATGATCTCGCAGTCCGTGAGTTCGAGCCCCGTGTCGGGCTCTGTGCTGACCGCTCAGAGCCTGGAGCCTGTTTCCGATTCTGTGTCTCCCTCTCTCTCTGCCCCTCCCCTGTTTATGCTCTGTCTCTCTCTGTCTCAAAAATAAATAAACGTTAAAAAAAATTTTTTTAAACAAATCAGGGGATTAAAAAAATAGGGGAGTGAACATTGGACATTTTGAATTATGAAATTATTGCTATTTTTTTTAACGTTTATTTATTCTTGAGACAGAGAGAGACAGAGCATGAACGGGGGAGGGTCAGAGAGAGAGGGAGACACAGAATCTGAAACAGGCTCCAGGCTCTGTGCAGTCAGCACAGAGCCCATGCGGGGCTCGAACTCACATACCGCGAGATCGTGACCTGAGCCGAAGTCAGACGCTTAACCGACTGAGCCACCCAGGCGCCCCCGAAATTATTGCTATTTTTTAAAGGTATCACTTAATCTTATGTTTTAGTGGGGTGATTAACCTGAAATATCTGAAAAGATATTTGTATTACGTTGTTAACTGAAAAGGGCAAGTTATGAAACCATTACAAACAGAATAATCTCACTATTGTGAACCTTATATTTATTTATTCTGGATTTACTTGGCTACCATACACATACATAGCACAGTGACCATAAGGATATGAAACAACAGTGGTTGTAGCATGGGAGGGTGCAAAATCATGATTTTTTAATTCATATTTTTCTTGTCCTTTCTGGTTTGTTGTAATGAGTAAACGTCTTATAGAAAAATATTTTTAGGCGTGATAATGGCTTAGTGGTTATATTTTAAAAGAGTCCTTATCTTGGGGGCAACTCAGTGGCTTAGTCAGTTAAGCCTCTGACTCTTGATTTCAGCTTAGATCATGATCTCACTGTTCGTGGGTTTGAGCCCCATGTCGGGCTCTGTGTTAGCAGCATGGAGCCTGCTTGGGATTCTCTGTCTCCTCTCTCCTCCCCTTCCCAGCTCTCTCTCTTTCTAAATAAATAAATAAACTTAAAAAAAATTAAAAAAACTGGGGTGCCTGGGTGGTTCAGTTGGCTAAGCATCCAACTCTTGGTTTTGGCTCAGGTCATGATCTCACAGTTTTGTGAGATTGAGCCCCACATCAGGCTCTGCGCTGACAGTGAGAAGCTTGCTTGGGATTCTCTCTCTCTCCCTCCCTCTGCCCCTGCCTCTGCCCCTCCCCCTCCCCCACTCACGCTGTCTGTCTCTCTCAAAAAAATAAATGAACTTAAAAAAAATTAAATTAAAATTAAAAAATAGAGTCCTTATCTTTAGAGATTAATAATGAAATATTTATGGATAAAAATGATATGATATGCAGAATGTCCTTCATAGTAATCAAGGATGGGGGAAAGTGGGTGGAGACATAAATGAGTTGATTAATTATTAAAGCTGGGTGATGGGTACATGTGGATTAATCATACAGGTTTTCCTATCTTTGTGTATATTTGAAATCTTCCATTAAAACAAGTTTAAAACTATGGATTCCCAAGCCCTACTACAGGTGACCTTGCATTTAAAAATATTTCCCAAATGATCCTGATATACAATCAACTGCTGAATTAGATTATAGCTAGGGGCGCCCGAGTGGCTCAGTTGGTTAAGTGTCTAACTTTGGTTCAGGTCATGATCTCATGGTTCACGAGTTTGAGCCCCCCATCAGGCTCTCAGCCCTTGGGGCAGAGCCCGCTGCAGATCCTCTGTCCCCTTCTCTCTCTGCCTCTACCCCGCTCATGCTCTCTCTCTCAAAAATGAACAGAAGACAAAAGATTTCTCTAGGATATAGCTAGTGTCCCTTTAATAGCATCATAAAGAATTACTTTCCATATAATTCGATGCACTGATATTGTGCAAGAATGAATTTGGCTGGTCTTTGTCCCCAGTCCTGGGTAGTTAACTTCTAAATCCTTGGGAATTCCTGAGTGATAGGAGTGTGTTCATTTTTCATGGTGGGCCTCTTCAATCACGTGTGACTTTATAATAAACAAATGGCTCAGGATGGTGGCTGGTCAGGCTGGAAAGATGAACCATGTGATTAGAGGGCTGGGGCTTTGAGACAGGTGATATCAGCCTGACCTCCAGCAGAAGGGAGGGAAAAGGGAGCTACGGATTAAATTCAATCATGTGGCCCATGATTCACCATGTAATGAAATCACAACAAAAAACTCTAGACACCTGATGCTTGGGTGAGCTTCCTTGCTGGGTAATCCTATATCAACGTGCTGGGAAGGTGACACATCTTGAGAACACAGAAGCTTCTCGTTTGGAATTCTCCTGGACCTCACCTCATGTCCCTCTTCACTTGGCTGGTCCTGATTGGTGTCATTTATAATAAAAGTGTAATTGTAAATAGAGCGCTGTCCTGAGTTCTGTGGGTTGTTCTTGTGGATTACAGGAACTGAGTGGCTAGTAGGACCCGCCCCAAAATTTGTAGCACTGGTCAGCAGTGTGGGTGTCCTGGGAGCTCTGGAGCCTGCAGCTGGTGTCCGAAGTGAAGCAGTCTTGTTGGGGACAGTGCCCTTAACCTGTGAAATGTGGCCGAACTCTGAGCAGTTAAGTGTTAGGACCACATTACAACCGGGTATTCACGTGAGTCAATAACCCCCTTCTATTACAAAGAGGGGACTGCAATCTCCAGGGCTCATGTAAGAATTAAGTGTAAAGCACCATGCACAATGCCTCGCACGTGGAGATGGAAAGTGAAATATCTTGGGGCACCTGGGTGGCGGGGGGGGGGGGGGG